CCTTGACAAGCCGTGAAGGGGACGGACGTGCAGAAGGTCACATGAAGGGGTGGAAGTGTCGGGAAACACGCAGCATCTTGGGAAGCACTGAGACAAAGCAGGTCTGTCCTGGGTTCTCCAGAGAGGATCAGAAGGACGGAAAGGGCAAGTTTGGTGGCAGAGGAATAAGTGGCCCTGGGGACAGGAGGTGTCTGCGGTGCCACAAACAGGAAGGCCAGGAGGATCTTGACAGCCTCCCCACCCACAGCCTGGCCACACCAGTGGGCAGAACAGCCAAGCGCAGTGGTAAGCAGGTTGTCAAAACTGAGCATTGGAAGGATGCATTTGAATGTCAGAAGGGACACTGCCTGGTGGGAAGCCAGTTCCATATGGATACAGACACACGAGGGTTCCTTTGTAAGACCACTGGGGGGGGGGGAAGGTGGAGGAGAGGAGGAGAGGAAGACGCTGAGTCGGCTGGACTTCTCCCCTGACCCCTGTGAAGCTCAGGGGCAGCCTGGGCACCGTGCACACGCACACAGACGTTCCCATGCTGCATGCAGACGCCTGTATCGTCACAACACGTGCCAGACACCAGGCTCCGTCCCCTCAGTGCCTGTTTACCCAGGAGGAGATGTGGGGTGCCACCTTTGTCCTCGGGAGGGAGCCCAGTGCCCCTGACCTCCGGCACCAGAGGAGACAGTTGTAGCAGGGGCTGGGCAGGAGCTGGGTGGGGCACAGCAGCCAGCCCCTGTCTGCTGCGGTGGGCACGGTGTCCTCCACCGGCTCCTCCCACCGCTGCCCTCAGTCCCTGTTTCCCACACTGTCTCAGCATCTGCCTTGGAGTCTGGGCCATTCTGAGGAATGATTTCCATGACCAGCAGCTGACCCCTCTCTGTAGGGTAGTAGCCATGGCTTCCTCATGAGTCTCCCCCAGTTCCTTTTCAAATGACAGTCTTGCAAAGGGACCTAACAGTGGAGCATTTCCCGCCGGTAGAGAAGAGGTGGTCTGGGGTGGCAGAAGTTCCCCCCCCCCCAGCATTTTATCCCAGAAGTGGTTTCAAACTAATATAACAACAGTGATTCTCTGGTTCCCTTCGTTTGACGTGATGTGACTTTGGATGGATGGATTTTTATCTCTGAGCCTCAGTTTCTTAATTTAAAAGACAAAGCCAGGAAAAACCGCTCCGGCAACAAGGGAAGTCTTCCTGAAGGTCAATTTAAGGATGAAGGAAGATGTTTTGTGAATTCTGAAGGCACGGACAACATACGGACATCATTTTTATCTTGTCTCTCTGGAAGACCGATTCTCAGCAGTCCATGCAGGTGAGAGCAGGAAGTCAATCAAGCCAGGAAAAGAGAAGAAACTGCTGCATCCTCCAGGAAGATTTGGAGTGAGTCCGCAGAAAGGTCTGGCAGACAGCGGACTAGAAACGCAGGGAAGTCGGAGGCCAGCTGCCAGGGCCAGGCAAACCCGGGCATCAGTCCTCAGTGTCTGGCCAAGGAGGGGATAAGGATGTGACATACTTGGGAAGGGGGGAGGGCAGGCTCGCGCATGCTCTTGACATCAGATGGGGAGGGAGTCTCCTGGAGCCCTCCATGGGGTGCCTCCTCGCCACTCACTGATTTCACTGGCTCCAGAAGAACCCAGGCCCATGATGCAGCTGTCAGAACTGGAACGTCCAGGTGGAGGCTGGGGGACATGACAGAAGTCACCCACGTACTCCTGGCTGCAGAAGATGCTTTTGAGGTGGATATCTGGAAACATCTCTAGGATCACAACTGAAACTTCTGCTGCTCGTCTCTGAGATAGAAGATATTTGGATGCATCCTCACTTCAATCCTTTTGCCGCCATATGCAAATGTTCTCTTTGTAGTAACCAGGAGTGAAATACTGCACATGGAGGAGACAGAGGCTTGGACAAACAGGGATTGGGCGCAAGATAATTGCTGGGCCTCAGAAGAAGACATTGAGGTACCCATTCAAACAGGCTGCAGGTTCAAGAAGGAAGGGACCCCACTTCTACCTTCTTAAATTTAAAAGGGTTTGTGGAAGAGAGGTTATTCCAGGAGGAGAGACGGAGACTGAACCCTAAGGGTTTGCCCATTAGTTTTGCCTTTTGAGTCTGACAACTGTACATCTGTATGCTGACCCTTGCCTACATTGTTGCACTAAACTGTAAATTGCTCCTAGTGGGGAAGAACGCTGTGCAACCATATCTTTCCTGTGATGGTGTGTTGGTTTGTTTTCCATTGCTGTAATGAATTACCCAAGGCTGGGGAGTTTATAAAGAAAAGAGTCATATTGGGCTGGTAGTTCCCAGCTCTCGAGGTCCAGGAGTGTTGCTGCCGCTGCGTTCAGCTCTGGGAGAGGCCTCGCAGCAGGTGCAGTATGTGGTGTGGGGATGTGTGGGCACTAACAGGGGCCCCGTGAGAACTGCATTAATCCCATCTGAGGGTGGTGCCCAATGACCTGGCCACCACCAACTGAGTGTAACCTCTTAAAGCTTTGCCACCTCTTAATGCCACCACATCAAGGACCCCACTTCCCACATGCTAACCTTGGAGGATACATCCAAACCGCATCTAAACCAGAGCACAGGAGAAAACCAAGAACTTTGAGCTTGCATTATGTCTTCCCACTGTTGGCCTGGTGCATTCTGAACTCAGCACACTCACTTTTTGCTCTTTCCATCTTTACCTAGTTACCTGGGGTCCTGTAGGAAGCGTTTCCTCTTACATCATCACAGGAAGTTCGAGTTTATGAAAATGCTACGGAGCCAACGGGCGGGGTGTGTGGGAACGTGAGCCGAATGCGGTGCTCGGTGCCAGGTGCTTGTGGCCTCCGCCTGAGAAGGAGTAGCCCCTGCACAGGGACTAACTCGCCCACCATCCTTTAACTTCCACAGCAGGACTTCCAGTTCCTGGACCACCAGCCTCGGGGTGGGACAGAGACTGGCAGGAACTCCCAAGTTGGGCAAGAGTCTTGGGTTAGTGCCCGGGAAAGATGCTGAGGGAACAGGAGATTGAAATCCCAGCTGAGACCGGCTCTGCGAGGGGCCGAGCCTCCTGCAGAACCTTGGCAAAGAGAGAGTGTGCATCTGGCATGTAGGAGGGACATCAGTAATGTTTGTCGTAGCCACAGCTGGTCAGATTCGACATGCTAAGGCTTGAGCTCATGGATCCAAGGTCCAGACAGGGTGGCTGCACTGAGGGGCAGTTAGACTTGTGCTCTAGGCAGGGTGGAGAGGTGAGGGCAGGAGCAGCCATGCTCACCTGGGACTTGAGGAATCTTTGCAACTGAGTGAAAAGAAATTGCAGTGGTCACCCGACTCAACCTCACCACCCCTGGGCTTTCCTGGTTGCACCAGCAAATGGCTTTTGTGCTTTTGTTCACAGGGTGGATAAGCCTCTAGGGCAGTGAATAGTTTCAGTAGATGGTTGCCCTAGCCTGTCTCCTTGATGTGTGCATGTCAGCAATCCTCTTTCCCTGAGAGAAAGCAGGAACACTAACTCTTGGTGCTCTCTCAAACCTTGATGGTGTCTCCCCTGGTCCCTTGGTCTTCTCTCCTCTGGATGGTCCACCTCCACTGGCTCATTTCCAGACGTCAGTCAACCTGGCCATCTTCTCTAGATGGTCTCAGCTTATTGACCTCATTCCCAGAAGCAGTGGCACCCCCACTGGGCCCATTCCCCAGATGCTGCTTTCCAGAAGGACCATAGGAACCGGTCAGCGCTGTGTACACCCACTGCGTTGGCTGTCTCCAAGGAAGAAACCTCATGGTGGGGGGCACGTGGAGCACGCCCTCCAGTCACGGCAGCTGGGACGAAGGGAGAAAAGGCGCAGGAAAGATGGAGTCCCCAAAAGGCCAACCCGCTAGCCCAGCCCCACCTGCCTAACTTACCACCCAGTGGTCCATTCAAAATACTACTCCACCCAATGGATAGACCCACTGGAAAATGAAACCCTTCACGATACGATCATTGCCTAAAACCCACCTCTGACCCTTGCTGCACTGGGGACCATGCTTTCAACACACGGGGCCTGTCCGGATCCGAGTGATAACAGAGTTAGAAAGGAACTAACCAGGGGCCGGTGACACAGCAGGCTTTTCAGGTGAAGTGTCACTGTAATTGAAAGAGAAGCTAAAGGGGAGTGTCCGAGGATTTTTTTTTTTTATGATTTGAGTTAATATTCCCCAGATTTGGGAGAGGGACTGGTGGACAGGGTTAGTGGAGGAGTCTTCACAGAGCGGAAGAGGCTGACCTTCAGCAGAGGGCTGGGACCCAGACTTCAAGGTTCACCCAGGGAAGGGGAAAGATGGGCTCCTTCTCTGGAGGCCAAGAGAGGAATTTGAATGGGGGCACCTTCCCCAGGGATCAGGAGCGGCTAATGGATTTGGGAAGACTCCAGAAGAATCGCACTCTTTGGGGTCAGCTGAATTGGAGTGAGGGAAGGAAGGGGCAGAGAATGGAGTCATGGATAACTAAATTTCCAACTCACTTTACTGAGTGGACAGTGGAGCCACAGCTGAGCTAGGAATTATCACAGGAGAACAAGGCTGGGCCGGGCTGGGGGGGGGGGCGTGCTCTGGAGCATATTGAGTTTCTGGTGCCTGGGAAGCAAGGACAAAGCTGGCCAGAGCCATCACCCACAGAAACTCCAGCCATACGGGGGTCCTCCTGTCCTGCCAGGTCTCGCCGACTGTGCGTCATGGTCTCTGATGACCACAGTGTCCTTGTTAGTTCTGTGCTGTGTTTAGTTAAACCTGGTGTCTGTGTACCTGACCTGATCACAAGCCAAGTAGCCAGAAGACGCCTGCAGCTTGTGGCTGTCCTTCAAACCATGCAAGTGATGAAGATAGACAGGATATGCAAGTCAGCCTCCAGGTCCATGCAGACCTTACCTCAGGCTACCAGATGAGCTCCTTTGCCCACCAATGTCCCCTAGGATTTGCTGATTTGAAAAATCTGACCGTCCCAGCCTGTCTCCGTGCTGATTCTTGCGTTCTGTCTTTCAGATATACCAGCACTCCTACACGGGATACTACGTCCTCAGCAAACTTCCTCACGGGTAAGACGCTGCTTTCCTTTTCTTCTACTTAGAGACCTACTCAGCCCTGAGACAGCAAATGGGCTCCCTGACCTCCGCAGGGAAGGGCCCTTGTGTGGCTGAATCTGGCTCCTTCCTCGTTCACTGCTAGAAGGGCACTGGTGTGTGTGGGGGGGGTCACTTGGGTCCAGCTGCTGGCCCATTTGTGGAGCCACTCTGCCCACTTCCTGCTGTGGTCCCTGCAGCCTCGAGGCTCCGCAGAGTGAGGTTCCCCCTGCCTCACCATTAGGCACAGCCCGTGGTTGGCTTAGGATGCCCGGGAGGCTCCCGGTCACAGCCACACTAGTGCCTTGAAGCCCCCACTGCACCCTGTGGCCTCAGACATGCAGGACAGTCCACGAGGAGTGAGGAGTAAGAAGCCCTGTGCCTTCAGCTTTGCCTCACACCAGGCAGCCGTAGCCACAGGTTGGAAGAGCTGGCTGCCCAGCTGCCCCCTGGGCACATCAGTTTGTGCATGGTGGAGGGTCCTTCTGGCATTGCGTTCCCAGAAGTGAGGTCTCAGTGCCCCCTTCTGACTGGGCCACCCGTCTTCATGCTGCTTCTCCCTTGTATTTCACTGCTTGGCTCCTGGGTCTCTAGAAAATGCATGATTCAGAGCCTCAGAGTATATGTGGGAGGGCAGGATGGGAGGGCAGGACGGGAGGCAAGATGGGAGGGCAGGACGGGAGGGCAGGACGGGAGGGCAGGACGGGAGGGCAGGACGGGAGGGCAGGACGGGAGGGCAGGA